ACGAATTCAGAATAGTGGCTCTCACCCCCGAGATTGATTTACTTCAGTCTCCTGTAGCTAACAGCACCTATTCTTCGCCAAATCGTTTCTTGAAGATGATTGCACCCGACCTCAATCCTGCACAAGCCAATGACATCCATCACCTTCTCGCGTCATAAACCGACATTTTTTATTTCAACGACAGATCTTTAGGGCAAACATCTACCGTTAAGCACCGTATAAACACTGGTGACGCCAGTTCTATTCACCGACGTCCCTAACGTGTATCCCACACTGAGTGCAGAGTTGTTCAAGCGGAAGTTGAGAAAATGTTCAACAAAGGTGTTATAGAACCATCAAGTAGTCCTTGGGCCTCCCCTGTCGTCCTTGTGGAGAGAAAGGACGATACCTGGCACTTCTAAGTTGACTATCGCCACCTCAACAAGATCACGCAAAAAGACGTACACTCGCTACCACGCATCGATGACACGTTGGACTGCCTGCACGGCGCTACATACTTCTAGTCTATTGATCTTCGGTCCAGCTACTGGCAGATATCTGTCGATGAGATGGACAGCGAAAAGACGGCCTTCATTACACCGGATGGTTTATCCCAGTTTAAAGTCATGCCTTTTGGACTATGTAACGCCCCTGCTACATTCGAACGAATGATGGACTCTCTACAATGCCATAAACTATATACTCTCTATAGCTTCTACAATGCAAAACGACGTGAAATGCCCTCACAGGGCAAAAGTAAATGTACCGGATAGACGTGGAACTTGACTTTCGAAGGCGCCCCCTAGGGCGTGCGCCTATGCTTAAGGCACACATTGTTGCACCGTTTGTGCGCTCATGGTTTGAAATGAGCTGGCTGATGCCTTTACACGCAAAGTGAACTTCATGCGTGTTTTGATATGGTAAATTATTCTGCCTAAGGGAAGGCTTTGCCATAGTAATAAATAAAAACTGGCTCACATCATCTTGAGTAATGATTAAATAAATCGCCTCATACGCATGGAGTCAGTGATGATAAGGGGGGTGAAGCGCCGGACGGTGTCATCGGTAAACCGCGAACAAAACGCGAATACCGCCCAGTACATCACCAAATACGTGAAAAACACTGCATATAATTATACAAGAAACTTTATTATTCATAGCTAACCGTCGCTTTCGTTCCACCTTCATTATGACGGCTTTACGGTTGGTGAAGTGGGAAATCGGTGATGGGGCGTAGTAGGATGTTTGCAAGGACGAAGTAGTGGGCAGTTTGCAAAACTCTAACTAGGCGGCCTTGTAAATCAAGAGAATGACAGACCCATGGCTTTAGGAGTTTCGACCCTGAAAATTTGGCAGACACCACGTACCTTGGAAATCAATTTTACGTGAAGCACGTGGAGACAAGGTGACTGTGTTTTAATTTTTTGTGAGCTCAGCATTATGAAATATCTCCGGAGATTGTACACGCAAATATATGTTAAACGGTCGCATACGCCCTGCCGTGGTGGTGTATAGTGCCTAAGGCACTCGGATGCTGGCCCGCAGGTCGTGGGATTTAATCCCGGCTGCGGTGACTGCATTTTCATCGATGGAGGCGAAAACGCTGTGGGCCCGTGTGCTTAGATTTGGGTGCACGTTATAAAACACCAGGTGGTCGAACTTTCCGGAGCCTTCCACTACGGCGTCTTTTATAATCATATGATGGTTTTAGGACGTTAAACCAAACATATCAATCGAACAGTCACGTACGTTTCATAAAACCAGTTCTTAATGGTTTCGTAATAATGCGAACAGCAATATGGGTAATAACAACAGCAAAAGCAATAAGCTCATATGAAGCGCTTGTGATCGCAAGGATGCGTGAGGGCTGTATAATAAAGAATATATCATTTTTAAGAAATTCAATAGCCAACACTGCTACCGCCATTTACATTTCACATACATCATGGTTTATTTGAAAAGCAGGCATGGTTTTGTGCTAGCATCACGGGTGCCACTGACTTTCGAGTCAAAGTCGCTAAAGGACAAGCAAAAAAGTTGGCAAAACTCGCGATTTTCTTAAAATTTTGGCAATATTGTCACCGCGCTAGATATGTTCGACATGCTTCGTAACAAAATTGCGAAAAAGTATAGCATCGTTGAAAAGCGTGACATCCTTGACCTATAAATTATATTGACATTTTTTAATATCAGTCTCATCGCCCGCTTCACCATGGGAGTGCTCGGTGCGCTTGGTACGACTATACGTCCTATGGTCTTCGTAGCGCAATTGTTACCACCCATTATAATGGGAGCGCTCTTATTATATTTCTATGAGGCCGCTTGTTTCAAAGATGAAAGTGGTGTAAACATCTGGTCAAAAACCTCAAAGCATTGTTTGTGTACAGCTCTAGGTTTCCATGTACAAATGAAAAGGCTTGTTTAAGGTAACGCAACAAAACTTTTAAAAGAACCAATCATTAGTGACTGTTATACCTTTCTAATATCAACAAATATGATACTGGGTGCCACTGTCTATTTTTATAATCACTTGTATCTACAGACGTCAAACCGACGTGCCTGAGGCATAAACTAACAGAAGGCAGTGTAAATCGTTGTATAGCAATTGTTTTTATTGTACACACACAACGAGAACGGTGGAAAATACCCGAGTAAACAATTTCATTGCATACACGCTACGCGTGCACCGCTCAGTCATAAATATTTCTGACTACTTGACCCGTAACACAGTTCCCGGGATATACGGAAGAGACACTACTGGTAAGTGCTAGAAGCCCCAGAATAGTTTGCTGCCTTTGGCGAAGAAGTTCTTCCGTAGCGACGTATCGTGTCGACGCGTCTTGCTACAAACGGCCAAGTTTTATCCTTATATGGGCTTCAAAAGTTACAGGTTTACTTTATTGCGAAGCTCCGTGTTAGTGAAGGTCACACACACACACACACACACACACACAAACACACACACACACACACACACACGCACACGCACACGCACACACACACACACACACACACAAACAAACACACACACACACACGCACACGCACACACACGCACACGCACACACACACACACACAGGCACACGCACACACACACACACACACACACACACGCACGCACGCACGCACACGCACACACACACACACACACACAAAATACTCGCTACGCTGCATGATTTGAGATCGGAAGTGCCGGGATATTGGTGACTCGAATAGTGAACGCTGAAAGGGGGATACACCAGCAGCGTCCGTGAAGCATAACGCCTCACACCAATATCTGGTGACGTGCTGTATTTACGCGATTTCGATATACCCCGTGATTCCAACGCACACCCGATTCATATTACTCAAGAACAAAAATACAGCTATGGGGTAGTTTGTACATCTGTACCCAAATATAATACACCTGTAATTTTAATGTCTATTTCCCGGGGAAAAAAGCTGCGCATTGAAATTAGGTAAATACGGTTGATGTTTTCAGTTGCGGTGAACATAGAGCCATACAGATGCTACAACAAGATACGAATGGCATGCACAGCCTTCCAGCACATAAATTAAAAAAATTTTCTTATCGCAGCGGAATTGGGTGTCTAATAATGAAACAACCTAAAGAGGACGGAGGTAACTTCCTGGAAAGCATTTCGTAGCATTCCTAAGGCCCGCACTGCGCTTTCTGTGCGATCATAATACCCTGAAAGGAGCCCACAGAAGCGGACTTCCTGGTGGCCCGAAAAGTATGTTAGTGACAAAATTATACTCTAAATACTAATATAGGCGGTGCAGCAGCAGTGAAGAAGTCGATAAGGTATTTAGGGGCGCTATGCAGGATCGGCCGAGTTTCGCCCGGGTAGCGCGAAACTGGATCTTCCCGTGCTCTGGCAACACCCCCTTATGAGCCACCCATCAGTACGAAAAAGTAAAATCCCCTCCCCCCTCCCTCATCGCGCGGCATTTCATTGGTTACGATGGAACTTCAGTCATCGCGTCAAGGATGGTTGACTAAGTTGGGCGGCGTTTTTAAACCAGAGGCATCTTTCTTCATTTCTTTGTAACATTTGCTTTTTGATCGACAACGTTCACAAACATTAACTAAATGAAAATGGGTGGGCGTTGAGAAAGTGGTTGTACTTTGGCCTTCTAGCTAAATCGTTTCGGTTTACAGACAGAGATACCAAATTATCTGCGTTCAAGAATTGAAAGAAATACCATCGTCTTAAAAAAATATGGGATGATTATGGTCACGGACCGGCCGGGACATGAGAGAAATATCTGCGAGCTGTCTCTTTGAATTGCGCGATACACACCTTCGCGCGTTCGTAGTACGCAGGTCTCTGAGATGCTTGGGCATCGTTCACTATCACCAGCAAGATAACGCGAAGTCTTGATGCACGCGCTTTAATATATAGGCTTCTGCCTGCACATTTTTGCCAGAGTTGAGATGCAGTCCCAGGGTCCTGTACTTTGACCTACAGGGCGTAGTGGCTGGGCTCGCACACTTATCCATAATAAGGGGACTTGAAGAGATGGTCCCTAGCTTCTTACGCATTATGCTACGCTTTGATAGCAAAGTTTGTGTTGAAGCCATAAACCACACGAAGGTCACTTTGCTCGCTCCAGCAGCTGTGTTTGTTAAAGAAGTGATTTGTAAGTGATTCTATGTGTGTATTTCAATTGGTTGATATCATATACAGTGCTTCACCCTTGCGGCAAGACCATCTTTTGTATCATTTTGGCTTATGCTTTTACGCTCTCAAGCAACTCCCAACTTTTAAACATAATAGGCTATCATGAACATCTATGTTGTCAAACTCAAGTGATATTTTGTTCAGAATATTTGATTTTGAAAAGTCACAAGGTTGTTTCAAACAAAAATATAAAATTATTCCAAATTAGCCGAATGCAAAGTTTCGTCTAATACTAATTATACATCATTTTCACAATATCGTGGAGAGTAGCGCCGAAGCTGCCTGGAATAAATTTTGTATATAGACTTAGGCAATCACTTAATGAGAAATACTCACCTTCTCGCCTGCTGACGAAGGTGCTGCCGGCTGGACTAGCAGGTCGCTGCGACCGAGGGTTCCACAGCGGTTGGCGCGCACGTCAAGCGTATAGGTGGCGCCCCCGGAGCCGTTCACGTAGACGCAGTCCGGGTCGTGCGCGTAGCCCGTGCTGTACACCAGGCCCAGGAACGAGCCATTGAAGTGCAGCTCGATGCGCATGAGTGCCTCGTGGCACTCGGCCGATATGACTGGAGGTATAAAAAAGAAAATAAAAACACTTAGTTTTTATCATAGAATTTCCTACAATATTTACTAGAGGAAACTCCGGCGCTAGTGTCTATGGGAGCTGCAACGCACGGCACTTCAGCGAGTATGGGAATGATCGGTAGTACACACATTTGTCTAATATTCGTACTTCTGGTCTGCTTTTGGCTCCGTGTGTGTTTGTGTGGCTTGGAGCTGTTTTCTTACGAAGCAAGTGTTAGCCAGTGTTCGGCGGTTGCGCTTCACAATTTTATTTTTTTTAGAATTACTTTTCAAATTGGCTCACGAAGTTGAAGAGGGTTCCATCTGTCTTTCAAAACAAAACCGAAACACAGCAATAAACTAAGCCGCAAGTACAATTCACCGCCCGCAAGTACGAAAACTAGGCAAATGTGTGTACTACGCATCATTCCCATGGTCGCTGAACGACCGCAGCGCCAGAGCGCCCTCTAGTTAATTTCGAGAAACTCTATGGTTTTTATTACTGCGCTCTTTCACAGTACATTGTTCACATGCTCTTCGTCGTGAAACTTTAGCAATGGCCTTTACGAATGCGTATTCGTTTCAAATCGGAATTGCCAGCAAGCCGACATACGACAACGGGGGCTGCGCAGAGACAATTTTCCAGCTTCTCTGCGAGTGTCAACGCTTCAATGCACCAAGAAGAGAACTGTCGAAAGTCCTAGATAGACTTGACCACCACCAATTTTTGGAAGAAAGGGTATTAGGACACTGGCCGAGACCGTCCTCGGCACTCAAGGCATTGAGAGCGTTGTTGCGTTTGTTGCGGACAAGTGGTCTTAGAGATAAACTGTAAGCAGCATCGTCAATCGTACTGCTGTCCTTCTACCGTTTTTTTTTCTTTAAGGTCTCTTTTCTGTCATATTTTACTCCCATTACCCTTTTCCCAAGCAAAGGGTAGGCAGCCGGTCTGAGAACTGGCTAACATATCTGTCCTTTCTCCTCCCTTCCTCCTCCTCCTAGTAACGTCTTATCAGGCTTGTAGAATACGTCAAAACTTCTTGAACAGCGCTTCTGGAGAACTATTCGTGGATCGACCAAGTTTTGGCGTTTGTGGATTGGTAAAGTGCTCTGTCGAGCAATAATCGAATCGCTAGGGAGCAGGCGTAAAACATTAGGTGCCTAACATTTCCTGACTTTTTGTGTTTACTTGTATTTTATTCAGTTTTTTTTCTTTCGGTCACACCAGTGGTTTTGGTAGCACCAAACACGGTGACAAGTTAAAAAATTACGGCATATTCACGGGGTGAATGATGATGAATGGGCGAAGCTCCGGAGAGATTCATCGGTAAACTGTGAATCTTCCGTGTAATTCGCCCAGTTGATCATAATATAAAGACGTGAGAAACGCTGTGTGTGTATATACACAAATCAACTTTTCTTTGTTCTTAGACGATGGATGGCTTGCGATGTCCCTTGCCTCGCGCGCTCGCACATCGGGGTTCTGTCTGCGAGCGCGCGCTGCTGCCGCCTTGCGCTCTCTCCGCTGTGCAGCCTTATCCATCCGGCGACTCCGAGCGCGCGCCAACAGCGAACGGATTTTATTACAACGCTCCCCCTAGCGTACGTCGCCGCACTAAATCGAACGATTGCCTTCAACCAATGACACGCGCCATATGTGACATCATTTCTATTTTATAAGATCTCGCGTCTTTCATCAACTACAAGTACCGCTTTCTAGTTTATAACATCTTGCATCTTTGCATCATCAGCTACAAGTACCACCATCTAGTAAACACTACAAGAACTAAACGAGAGGTGGCTACATACAGGAGACGGTACCGCCATCTAGTGAACACTGCAAGAACTAAACTAGAGGTGGCTACATACAGGGGACGGTACCGCCATCTAGTGAACACTGCAAGAACTAATCTAGAGGTGGCTACATACAGGCTACAGGGGACGCACAGCCCACGCCCTAAGGAGCTTCGCCCCTAAAAGGTAAAGACTACCAACATCATTATCAGGATAATAGCCTGGAGGTAGAGAAATGACAGGAGTGGGCTGAAGCTGCCCGTTACCTTAGATGACCTTTTTTTCAATTTCGCAAATGTATTATTGTCAAGGACCAAACCACACAAGCCCTTGGGTCGGCACAGGTTTCTTTACTCTTCAAAACTTCTCGTCGTACTCTTCTTCGGTCATTGCCCCACCGTTGTGGTCTAGTGGCTAAGGTACTCGGCTGCTGATCCGCAAGTCGCAGGATTGAATTCTGGATATGGCGGCTGCATTTTCGATGCAGGCGGAAATGCTGTAGGCCCATATGGTCAGATTTGGGTGCACGTTAAAAAAACCCGGGTGGTCGAAATTTCCGGAGCCCTCCACTAGGGCGTCTCTCATATTCATATGGTGGTTTTAAGACGTTGAAACCCGGACATCAGACAGTCTTCTTCGGTCATCGCCGCGTTGTCTTTAGTTGTGTCACATCCGCTCCCACCAACAGCGCACACCCATGTACATGCACGCATACGAGCTCACGTAGGAACACATAGCGTATGATGAAAGCGCCCCTGTCCCGCCTCCAGAAAAGTACCTCTCGAATTTCGCCGTGGAGCATAAAGCTGCACAAATCAAAACAACTCACTGGGAGTTGCGGTGTTGCACGCTTGGTTTAAGTGGCTACGTGAGCTGGGGATACTGCGTGCACCTCAACATGTTTACCGCGCAGGAACCCAACGTAGGATATTTTAGAATACGCATTGTAATATGGAAAAAAGTGGTTTATCGATTGGTTAAGCGGGAGCAGTGATAACGAAACCACGCCGAAGTTGCTGATCTCCGAAGACCACCACGGAATATTGTGTATATAGTAGCTTGCCGGTATAGCAACCTAGACAACGTAGTCATCGTGTCCTAGTGGTTTCGCACCACGCACTACGGAGGAGAGGTCGTAAGTTCGAGATCTAGTGACGTAATGTGTACTTTTCATTTTTTTTTTGCCATCTGTTAGGTTTTATTCTAGAACGCGATATCCATGAGAGAAATACGTCAGCGAAGCCGTGGTGAACCCCGGTATAAAACAATTTCATAGGAAAAATGAGCAAGACGTGATGACATCACGAGTACGTCACAGGTTGACATTAGTGACGTCATAAGGATGTCTTTATGACCCTGGTCCACGATGATGTCCAGAATTCACAATTTGTTCGAAGGTACAGCCTAATCAGAAAGGTAATGGGAAACCAGCAGATGTGCCTTCGATCATGGAGGCAGAGCAAAATCCTGTTAGGTGCAGAGAGCTTTCAGAGGAGGTTGAGGCAAGGTCAACATACATCGACCGAGAAAATCAACACGATGGCTTTACCCTTCAAGTCGCTTTAAGTGGATGCCTAAAAAAACCTGTGAGCTTTGCCACTAAGCTCAAAGCATGATGAAAACAGAATGCCACGCTAATTGCGCTTTGTTGCAAAACCATGACTGTACTTAACATACCTTTTACGCGGACAGGCACCTCTCCCGCATCGTTGATGAAGGGCGTATATCCTGGGTCCTCGATGTGACCGTGACCATGGTCGTAGAGCGGTTTTCTTCTCGCAGATCCTGCTGGTCGCTTCTTGACTCGCTTTATAGCAGGAAGGCGCTCTACTGTACCTGATCAAACGCAAAAAAAGGGCGTGTGTAGAAGTTGCGCAGGAAGTATAATTACACATATCTTTTTTTTTATTTGTGGCGTATTATAGGACTCAGGCACGACAGGGTTTTGTGCTCACATAAACTTAAGGTACCATACGCTGCCACTTTAACACTACTTGTGGGATACAATAGAAAATTAAAGCGACGATTACTATTTTTCCTAACTCCAAATGCGAGGGCTGTACCATGCGCTTTTTGCTTTTGTGGTATATTGATGCACACGCATTACCTGAAAGAGACATGTATGCAGGTACAGTAATAAACGACTACTGATGTACAACTTACTTATTTTTATTTTGCCTTCTTCTTTTGTTTATTACTCTTTCAATTTTATTGTTATTTTGTTTCTAGATGGCGGGAGCGGTTGTTGCAGTGCAATCTTGATTATCATTTTTATTTCTATTCATAATTTTCTTTTCTCTTTCTTGTTTAATTAGTTTATTACCGTTTAATAACTGTTTAGTTTAGCCACTGCGGAGAAGGGTACACAGCTGCCACACGGACGCCAGCTAAAGATGGACGCAGTAAAGCTGTAAGAGGCGCGAGCCAGGAATAGTGTGCTCGAGAGGAATGGCGCAGAGAGCAGTGATGGGCGTCTAAGAACTGTACTCTAAAGCATTCTGGCTAAACTCATCTATACAATGACGATCTGAGTGCGCGAATGGTCGAAAGCTGTCACGTCTTAGGGGCACTCGCAACAGGCCTTCTGTGCTGTGCATCCCCGTGGGCAGCTCCTCATCTAGTAGCGATACCGAGACATGGTCGCGAAACCACAACATAGCACACTCAATAGCCCAAACTGCTATAAGAAGCAAGTTCTAAATGAACTGGGTAAACTGGTGTGCGCACAAAAAAACAGACAAACGACAGCAGAGAAGAGACAGGGACAAGCGCAGACTTTCAACTAAATTTAATTCTTCGTCAACCTTCAATTTACAGTCGCACAGAACATAGTCAAGTGGTCACGAGGACAGAACCTAATAGTTTACAACAGGCCACGCAAAAAATGACGCTCACTATCAAAAAGCGAAATGGATGTATCACTAACACAGGTATTGCCTCTAGCAGAAATATAAACCGCTTCCATCAGTTCCCGGGCTGTGGTATCAGCACTCCGACCCAAAATCCTAATCTCCGAGAAAATCGGTGAGCACGTGCAAGCTTTGCAATGCGCGGGCAAATGCGTGATCCCGTTATTTTTAAGTGACAGCTCATGTTCCCTTGCACGGTCGTTCACGCAACGCCCCGTATGACCCACGTAAAATTTCCCACAAGACAGCGGTATTTCGTAGACAACGCCCGTCGCACATTTCACATACACAAACGCGTGCTTCTTTCCGCAACCACCGGATCTCTTCTCGCCAGGGAAGATTCTGGGACAAAGTCCAGCCAACTTACGTGGGGCGGAGAACACGATCGGCACACCGTGTCTACTCGCTATCTTTTTGAGGTTGTGGGAAATGCGATGCATATAAGGCATCACCTCCGGACGCCACCTGCGACGCAGGCCAGGGTTCCCGCTGGAACGGACTGCTTTGGCATCACGCAGAAGCACTTCAGCGACTGCCGAGACTACCGTGCAAGGATACCCAGCGGCAATTAAACGCCGCACCTGATCATTAAAGCTTTCTTGCATTGCATGTGAGCATGACTTCTCAAGAGCGGACCGTAGACACAGTTTGGCAATCCCCCTGGCGAGAAGAGATCCGGTGGTTGCGGAAAGAAGCACGCGTTTGTGTATGTGAAATGTGCGACGGGCGTTGTCTACGAAATACCGCTGTCTTGTGGGAAATTTTACGTGGGTCATACGGGGCGTTGCGTGAACGACCGTGCAAGGGAACATGAGCTGTCACTTAAAAATAACGGGATCACGCATTTGCCCGCGCATTGCAAAGCTTGCACGTGCTCACCGATTTTCTCGGAGATTAGGATTTTGGGTCGGAGTGCTGATACCACAGCCCGGGAACTGATGGAAGCGTTTTATATTTCTGCTAGAGGCAATACCTGTGTTAGTGATACATCCATTTCGCTTTTTGATAGTGAGCGTCATTTTTTGCGTGGCCTGTTGTAAACTATTAGGTTCTGTCCTCGTGACCACTTGACTATGTTCTGTGCGACTGTAAATTGAAGGTTGACGAAGAATTAAATCCAGTTTACCCAGTATTATGAACCAACTCGCCCAGCTACAAGTTTTATTGAACCACATTTCTAAATGAAACAGCTTCACTAGAAATCCATGATCTCGGGGCCGCAAATTCGCCTAACTTGCTCATGGCTCCCGAAAAACTTTATTGGAAAACTTTTTCAATAAACGCAACAGATTTGTTTACCCGCTACACTGGCGAGAGAGGAAATGAAAGACTGAATAGAAAACTTATGGCGGAATTGTGTCTACTTCAGTGATTGTTTGAGAGGATCTGGCAGGTCTCTGAATGCAGGTCAGTCGAACATAATCTTGGAATAGAAGAATTTTCGGGGGGCTGAGTCGCAACCCGAACCCGCACCCGCTCCACGAGAGTCCACTTATCCTCGAGAGCAGGACTGGACAAAGCCTCCTCACACCACTGCCGCGTCGGCAGCGTAATTTTTGCGGTACTGCTACTAGAGTGGCAAAACCGAACACTGTGGAACAGCTGAGCACAGCTGCTACGGAGTTTATGCACAGTGATAAATTTTTCTTGATCGGTTTTAAACATTCTAGCCGCGTCCCTGCACGATATGGTTCCAAGCGTGTGCAGCAGGCTATACTCTACTTTAGTAAGTTTTTTAGCGGGTGTGGCCTAGTGTTGTGCATAAGAAAACCGGCGTCATTGTGCAAGACTCGTGGTTTGAAATTCGGAGCCGGCCTTAGATACTTGAGGGCGAAGACAGAGCCACAGTATATATTCGCAGCACGGAGTCCGGTGAGAAACATTTATAATCCAATCTACACATTCCATTGAGATGTCAGGGATTCCAAGGTGAAGACGAGCAACGCGCATCACATAAGTACGGAAACACAAGCAAGGCAAGGCTGGTCAAGGAAAAAAAGTCCGGCAGATGCCACGTACCCGGAAATCGACGTTATGCGAAGCCTGTGGAGGGAAGGTGACCGTGTTGCAATATTTTTATTGAGTGACACGTCAATAAATAACGCTAATACATGTACAAATGTTGCACGCACAGACATATGTCGAAGAGTTGCAGATGTTTATATAATCAGTTGTTAGCACGTGGGCAACGTCGCCAACTGGGACGTTCGTATTAGCAACACCAGAAGCTGATATAAAGCGCTGATGCTCACGAGGATGCTGGCCATGGACACTGCTACATAAATACGCTTGAGCGCATGGCAACTAACCGCAATTGACCTTAACCTGACGTGACGGCTGTATTAAAAGTGTACATATGTAATATTTATAAAATTGGGTAGGCAGTACTGCAACCACTATTGACGTTTCAAGAAGATTAGCGTCTATTTGAAAAAAAGTTCCGAGACATGGCGTAGCCATGTGGTAAGATGCTTCACTGCCACGCAGAATGCTTGGATTCGATTCCAGCTAGGACCCTGGCATTTAATCTTTGCATTCGGCGGGTCGACGCTACCGATGTCGAGTATTTCTTAACGCTCGTGCATTAGAATTGCCCATGTGTGTTCTCGTTGTCCCTGGGTAGATACTAAGTGTCAATCACCTGTGGCACATACCGCCATAGCATCGGCGCATACCCGCAGTTAGGTATGTGCCATTGTCTGACCAGAAGTGTTTGACGACGTACGCGACGGGATTGCGACATTATTCATGTCTCAACTAGCGCGTCATATTCGTCAAACCATCTTACACTCCTATGCTCATTTTGGTTCGTGCAAGGTTAAGGGGGTGCCCACGGCAGCACCCATACGTAAGCGGCTAGATAGATAGATACGCTCAAAGTCGCCGAAGTTTGCTAAGAAATGCTTCACATTTAACGAACGATAACGTCACTCATGTCCACAGACTTCCGTTTCCTCAGTTCTCCCTTACCAGTATTTGCACGTTCCTGTGCATCGAGCTGCTCGTCTTTACCACAACGTAAACCAAGCGGCTCACACTTCGGAACTTGGCAGGGTATTCACCGAACACTTGCAGAAGGCTTGCGTTTCTCAGAATCCCAAAATTTACAAACTGGGACATTATGGCGACACACGTTTTGAGTATTTGTGAAAAAAGCTTCACAGGAATGAGATTTATAAAACAGAATATTTTGCCGGTGTCATCATCATCAGCCTGACTACGGCCATTGCACGGCCAAGGCCTCTACCACGTTCTGTCATTCAACTACGTCCTATGCTTTCTGCAGTCACCATGTACCTGCAAACTTCTTAATCTCTTCAGCACACTTCATTTTCTGTCTTCTTCGCATGCGTCTCCCTTCTCTTGGAATCCAGTCAGTTACCCTTATTGAACAGCGGCTATCCTGCCTAATGTGCAACATGCTCGGCAAATGTCCATCTTGATTTGAACTGTAATATCCTTAATCCCAGTTTGTTCCCTGACCCACTCTGCCCTGTTCTTGTCTCTCAAGGTTACACCTTCCTTCCATCGCTCTCGGCGTCATCCTCAACTTAAGTTTTATGTTCTCAATAAGCCTTCAGGTTTCAGCTCCTTAGCCAAGTACCGGCAACATGCAGCTGTTATATACATTTCTATTGAGGGATAGTCGATTACTCATCATCAGCCTGACTACTCCTACCGCAGGGCAAAGGGCTTTTCTATGATCCACCAATCAACCCATTCTTATGCTTTCCGTTGCCAGGTTATACGCACAAACTTTTTAATCTCATCGGCCCGCCTAAGTTTCTGCCTCCTCTTCGTGTATTTGCCTGCTCCGGGAATCCAGCCAGTTACCTTTAATGACCAACGGTTATGCTGCCTACGTGCTACGTGTCCAGCTCACGTCCATTCCTTTTTCTCAATATCAACTATGATATCCTTCACTCC